AAAAGCACTCTAATACGGTATATGAAATCAGACAATCTGTGTTAAAAGCTAATGCTTTCTCACCGGCCTTCAGAACAAAAAGTAGCAATGCTCATGCTTTTGTTAGCATTCAAAACCACGCTGCTTGAATAAAAGTCACGGCTCTGCATTGATTTAAGTTGATTTTATTTTTATCTTACCGCTGATTAGCAGCCTGTCCACAGAATTGAATCAAAAGGCAATATCATTTAATTCCAAACCAAACTCAGAAAACTTAAAAATCCTAATAGAAATATCAGAAAAAACTTAGTTCTCGTTTTGAGTGAAACTAACTCACATTTATTCGGCAGGAAAAGAAAAACCATAAAAATATATCATGATTAACTCAACTGCTGTTAGTCATATAAGGCTGGAATATTTTGTATCAAGGAAATGACTGTTAACAAATAATTTTATATTAATCTATCTCAGGGGCTGCACATCCCATCCATGAGTACAAAACTCACATCCTTGTGATTTTGACAAAAGGGTCACCTATTCAAAACGGGTAAAATCCGCCTTCTTGAAGGACTTTGAGATGTCTTCCAGATGTAATTTTTTTTTTAATATATTATAAATGAGTATTTTCCTAATTGTTTTCAAATTTTTATTTATTATTAACTTTTATGTTAGAACGGTTTTATAAAATATATAAATTTCGATTTAAAATTAACCAAAAAGTGAATATTTTCAAATTTAAATTTTAGTTTTTCTTAGAAGTATTTGATTCCCGATTTGAATATAACATTTCAGCAATACTCATCATAAAATTTCACTTCAAATGTACTTCAAATTTTGTTTTCACTGTATCGATTTAAAAAGCGATCGCGAGAGAGTCGAGATATTTTAAATAAGTTAGCTCCTTTTTTTCTCTTTTTATTATCATTATTAATAATATTTCACGTTTTTATTTCGTCGGAATCTAACTTAAAATTAATTTCCTGATAAAAACTAATTAATTCTTAAAGTTAATTTTATCCCTGCTCTTTACGTGTCAAATTCAGAGCTCCTCAATAAGTGGCCACTAGGTATATTGCTAAGATTATTATAAAATAGAACAGGTACTCGATTTCATTACAACTTTAATAGTTTAATGTGGTGATATTACTTTAATTTCCTCTGCAAAAATTCTGAAAATGAAGTTACTGAAAATTTAATTATATTATTTTAAAAATATAAAATGAAGAATCATTTGTACATTCTCTGAAAAAGCAAGACATAAAAATAATATTAACTGCATTTTTCATTATTCACAAAATGGAATAAAGAAGGGACGGGATTTGCTTAATTTAAATGGAAAAACTAATAATTAAAGTGCCAGTTTCATATTAATTTATTTTCAGAGTATATGTAATATCTACATTTGCATTTTCTCTTAGAAATATGTAAGTTAAAATTATCTCGTAAATTCGCAAATTTCTATTGCAATATTTATTCATTTATGGAACATTTAAATAGAATAATAATTCAATTATTCTACTATTTTTACGAAATTAAATCTAGAATAATTTATTTCCAGAAAAGAATTCGTTTTTATGCATAGTGTTTTGTTTGAGAACAGCAATTCAATACTAAAAACAAATAAAATGGATTAGAATTTTCGGCGAGATAGGTTTTGCATATATTAAATCTTGCATTTTAAATAGATCAATCGTCAAAGATAATAAAGGAGAAATGCGAAATGTAAACATAACTTCAATAACATTTCAAAAACTAAATTAAAAAAGCATCCAGGATTACAATCTAAGACGTAAAACGCAAGAAAAATGTAAAGCAATGCGCAGAAAGATATAAAGAACAAAATTTTACGATGGTAGAGTAAACTAAGCAGTGAAGGAACATTTAAGCTTCGCTTGCCTTTTAAAAAATCATATTAATTTCAAAATTCGTAATTTTAGTTAAATGACAGTGTCAACATATTTGTTACTAATTGCAAATTATGTAAAAAAATTGTAGAGAACTTACATAATATTGTTTTAAAGTTTTGGAGGTTCAAATAACAAGTAGTAAGAAGACC